CCAGGACATATTTGTGTGGTGATAACGATCAATTGTTTTTTTGTGTGGGTGTATCTATATCTATAAAAGAAGAAACTAACAGACTGTTTCACTAACTGATCGATCAATGCACAGCTGGCTAAAGGAAACCGCTGGGTCTAGAAGCATGATTTTTTTTTTGTGCTGAATGAATAAAAGCTATATAATTTTTCCACTTTCAGCAGTGGGAAAAGCTTCTACAGGTTTTCAAAAATGTAAGGGGAGGAAATCGAAAAAAGAATATTCGGGCGCATCAGATATTTTGGCGATATGTTATTTAGATGCCGAAAACACTCCCATTGAAAGGTCCGATGATTGTAAAGTGACACAAGCTCGTAGTGAATTATCGAAAGCGCAAACTGCAAATTCGAAAAATCGCCATTACGAAATACCAGAACGTGTGATGTGTGTGTGTAAACAGCACGATTTCATACAGACAGTTCAGCTTAATGTCATGCTAGCCAAAAATCTGATGATAATTTTGGAGGGTATGCTAAATCTGACAGATGGAAATATTTTTATTATTTGATTTTTTACAAAATGTAACAAATAAAGATTTTTTTCTTTGCTTCTTTGCTTCAAAAAAAATGACAGGCTCATGTTTTTTTTTTGGAACTTTGTGAACCTCCCACTTCTTCTTATATCACGCTCAAATTGCCAGATTTTTTAAATACACACTAATGTGGATATAATTAACCTAACTTACCTTAATCTTACACGCTCGAGTATTTCTGACCATCGATTTATTTTTTAACATTCCGAAATCCCTTCCAGGGTTCCGATACTATTAGGTGACGTGTGCACTAAGAAAGGATTTTTAAAAAGTCTACCCCTAAGGGGGCAAAATGGGGGTTAGAAATTAATATGAAACTTCGTTTTTTTAGTATTAGCGTTATGGAACTCACAGTAAATACTATTTATTTATTTTTTTAAAGACATCTCCCGCATTTGGAATATACCCTGTGTCGCGGGGGACTTTACAAACATTCATGAAGCGGATACAAAGAACACCCAGACTCAGTACAACAATTTGAGGATCACACAAAGTGGCGTCCCGTGTGGTGATCGGACCCACAACACTCAGCGTAGTAGTGAGCGGCGTGGCGACCGCTTAAACCACTACGCCATCCGTGCAGTCAAGATATTAAAAGGAGTGACAAATGTTGTTAATTTGTTTTCAAAACTACCCCTAAAAAGTTGCGGTGTGCGGATCAATTTTTGTTTAACCTTTCGATTCCAAACTCTCAGTATAAATAGGCTATCAAAAAGAATAATACTAAGACACCTATTTTAATAAATTTTCAAAACTACCCTTAAAAAGGTGTGCAAAAGTTTTTATGGTACATATGTCTGATGTCAACTACCACGCAGACAAAGTTGCGGACAAAAGCTAGTTCATCTGTAACTGCATATGTTTAGAAATCTGTAAGTTTTGTTTATCAGCAGTCTGGTTACCACAGCTCAAACTAACTAATTTAGGATAACTTGATAGATCTTGAAGAAAATACGTTTTTGAAAACCTTTAACTTGGCGTTTAAAACTCCCCCATTTAAATTTCATAAAATTTTCATATAGAGGGATATAATTTTCATCATAGTGATAGTGAGACTAACCATTAAAATAAACTAACGACAACTCAAACGCCAAAATTCATCAAGCCGTTTAAGCTACAGAGCATGTCAAAAAATAAAAAATATACATACTTACACTCGATAAACATAACCCTACTGACACTGTCGGATCTCACTATTAGATCTTTTTAGGATCTAAACTAGTGTTATGACCCTTAATGACAAAATAGTTCCTCTACAACATTTTCAACTTTAAATTTAATTACTGTTTGAAAACTCTATTATTTAAAAAATCGCATAAAGTAGGTAACAGTTAGGTACCTATTCCCGACGCAAACAACCGTCTCCCGTCGCTCACGTTTAGCCATCACGAGGCCTGGCCTCCAATCCACGTGCCTAGCCAGCCGCTTACGCAAACGTTTATTATTTTTCACCTCTAAATCGAATGGCGTGAATGTTGTGCAGTGAATACCATTGAATTACTAGTAGTTCTTAGTTCGTACCAGTCAGTTAGTAATTATAACAGAATATAACTTGGCTAAATTAGAGTTTTTATTAGAGAACCTCATCGTATATTTAAAGTAAATATTTTGCTATGTGCATGCAAATATGGGGACCCGGATTCGAAGCATCTGCGTAAAAACAACACTTATCGGCGCGATCTTGTTTATAATATTCAATGATATTATTATTATATATAAAGTGAAATACAAAGTAGGGCAAACAAAGATGATGTTCTAAACAAAAGATACTTTACTTTAGCACCGCAATTGAGGACACCGATTTGCATTGTTTTGCAAGGTTTTGAGATTTTAAGTAGACTTTGCAACAGAATAAAATATTTCGTACCGCGACATATTTTTCTGTTTGCAATATAAACAGTTAAAATGACTATAAATATAAATTATTTTTGAAGATCCGGGTCCAGTAAACGTCCAAGTCGATATCAGGAAGTTTTAATACACAATAAAGGACTGCTAAAGCAATTTCGGTTGCGTCGTGACGCGAGCTGGCGTGGCGGGCGACTATACTTTCAAAAGTGCCCCAGATGTTGATTAACGGTAAAAAGACCATCTCGCGACAGATGCTCCACTGCACATTGCGGCATTTGGAAGCAGAATGGGAGTGTTTATATTATTTTAAATAATTTTAACAATATTCCCAGGAATTGAGGAAATCTCTTATTTTAACGTGTGTTTTTCTAAGAATGAGTGTGTGAATGTTGTAAAGGAGTTTTGCACACGTTAAAACCAAATATAAAAAAATGACAATCTAAAATACAAGGAGTAATTTCATTAATCTCTTACAAAATTAAAATAATTTGTATTTTCATTTTATTTGATTTGTATTTCCAAATCATGATAAATCCAGATAAAATCGTGATAAATACAGTGTCAATCCGTAAACAAACGTCAGTGTCAAACTATAAATGGCATTTATAGTTTGACACTGACATTTATTAAATGTCAATATAAGAGATATACGAACTGCCAAAATATGAAATTGTAATTTGTCAATCACTGCTTGTGTGCAAGTGAATTTTTTTCAACGACTTGGACTGTTTTACTACTTTACTTTACTACATTGTGTTAAAAATATTTCGCGAACAACATAACTGTGCCATACCGTAGATTCGAGGTCATATTTCTTGATTACGCAACTGTCAATCAAACTGAAACCTAATGCAGTCTAAAGTTCATAGGGTACCTGTAATAGTTCATCATAATTTGAAATCAACCATGTAATGGAAATGAGCATTCTCCTTTAAGTTTTATACCCGAAAACAACAATAAGCAACGTAAAACTATTTTCAACCCCTTTTCATTTCATATTCCCCGACTATTGTCTCCCAACTTGCTTTAGTTAAACACAATAATATCAGCTTTCTTTATTAACAGAAGGCCAATCGGCCGATCGAAACGGAGCGTGTTTAAGGACAAACCTCGCCTTTTTATGCAATTGAGTTTAAATGTAATTTCGCTCTAAAAGCGTTGTAATTTTTTGCAGGATGCAATAAACAAGAATTTTCTCTTAAATACATACCTACGCGAGAGTTAGCCAATGAGGTGACCCTATTCAGAATAAAAGATTGCAGGTCGAAAATTACAGTGACGAAATTGTACGATCTACGTCAGTGATTGATTTGCATGAAAATACAAATATATCCTTTCGGTTTCATACCGCACCCTCCTTTGTGAAGCAAACGTTGACGCGATTATATATTCATCAGCTGAGATTTGCGCGTTTGTGCGTCACGCAAAATTAACTTGAAATGTGACTCCTTCGTGTAACATTTTCATTCATTTTGTTCGTTGTTTTTTTTTTTTTTTTTTTTAGTTTATTTGGCAATAAAATTGCGCTCGTTGAGGGTCCAATTATATGTTTTTCTTTAGTAATATTACTGATAAACAATAAACACTCGTAACGCCAATGATGTTTCTCGTACGTGACTCAAAAACCTTTTGCAGTGTGAAGAATATATAGACACACTTGAATATTAAATAAAAACATTGCCGTTTAGACAAAATTCAAAATTCCGGTTAAACAAATAATAAAAACCTATACAAAATTCCATATATATATATATTGTATAGTTAGTAATTTTGTATAGTTTACATACCAAAGTGCGTAGATTATGACATTATTGTATTAATGCACGAGGTTATATATTTCGAAAGAGTAACTGTTTCTCGTTTGGCTCAAAGTTTTGGAAATTGCTACTCGCTTCGCCTTTTAATAGAATTTAAACCTTCATTTAAAGTTAATGATGTTGTGTCATGAGTGCACCGTCGAAGATACAAAACAATATTTTAAATAACATTGAATTGAATTAGAAATAACTTCGCAGTAGGAATTTTGTTTATATGGTCCAGTAACTGGTAACGTAGTATCTTGCAAGCCTTTTTGTAATATTGGTTCTAAGAATATTTCTTTAAAAACCCACGCACTGGGAGACTCGTAGGGCTTATTTTTGCTACCTAAATAAATAAAGATGTTTTATTTTACCAATATTGATCACACTTATTACTATACTTTTAACACACACCAGTTTATAGAAGTAACCAGATGAGGGTATGAGCAATTGAAATTTTCTTTGGTTTAAAGGCATTAGAAGGTGCTAATACTTTTGCTTTCGCGTCACGTTGTTAGTTATACATATTCTCACATTTTCACCCGAGACAAAGGCAAACTACGTTAAGAGATAGACCTCTCCTTAGAAAGGAGGTTTTGGCCTACTATATCACGCTGGCCAAACGAGTTGCTATAGTTTGTTTCAAGTTTTCCAACTTGTAAAAAAAGTTCCTTATTTCATCCCATGATCCCATGAAAATATTTTCTAATATGTGCATAAAGCGTTCAAATGAATAAAGTCATTATGAATGAGAATATAATAGTGCAATAATGCCTCACCTTGTAGCCGCTGTTGTCCTGTTGTAAGTGCTGTAGTCCGTTGTGTTGCTGGTATGGGCTCAGCAAGCGACGCTTCTTGACAGGCTGACGAGCCGGCGACACGGCCGGCTGGTAATTGGGCTGCGTGCTCTGGGGCTGACTGCTGTGGTATTGCGACGCCGGCTCCGGGAACATGACATGCATTCCCTACCAACAATGCAAACACACATGTTATGAATATTATCTCTTTATTTATATTAGGTATTTATAATTAACTTATTATGAAAGAGATATTGAAAAATCCCAAAATTTTCATTAGACAATAATTTTATAGTTATTAGTATCTTATGAGTCGTAAACTGCACTAGGTGTAACTTTTCATTAACTTCCTGTCATTTATAGCTAAAATGCGTCATGAAAACTTATGACCAAAAATAGAAAACAATAATTACACACATGACAATAATACAACATATACCGTGTTGTACTATAGTATTTTTTAATTAAAGGAATGAGTTAAAATCTACCAGGAATAAATATTTACAGGATTTACACGACACAACTAAGATTGTGTTGAAAAGTATTTTTAATAAATATTGATTTATCGATATTTTTATTTACTCTTTATAAACCATTAAGTATAAGAATTAAATTTGTTTTTCGTTGAAGACCCATGTTTTGTAATTAACGATTCGGTTAAACGGATTTGCAATTTAAAAGTCAAGCGATCAAAACGAAAAGATATACGCGCGAGACACCTGCACAACTTTAATATTTTTTGGTGTTTACAACGAAGTAATTTCGCAGAGAGCGCCGTAAAAATTGAGTTTTCATTTGCTAAGAGCAACCATTACCGTGAAGCATGTCGCCGTTCCGTGAATCCAACCAGTAAGGCTTCGCCGTGTTCTATAAACGCTTGTGTGAGTTTGCAGTCACGAAGGTACATTCATTAACAAAATGAGGAGCGGAGCTAAACAGGAAACTTTGGATGGCGAAATTTAAATATTTCCGTGAAACATTAATTAACCATCCGTGTGCTGACGGATTAAGAATACGGAGTGTGACCGCCCCGTGGGTGTCGTAAGAGCGGGCTAAGGCACTAACTACGCAGGACACAGCACTGCAAAGAGAAGAATCAAACTTGACACAAATCCTTTTTTTTACGTTTGGAAACCCCCTCAGGCGTCACCCACCGGGGTTTGCGGCGGGGTGGTGTTTCGGAATCGGACAGATTAAAACCACACAGTGTGCCACTCTGCGCCTATAATAGGATGGATCCGGGAACTGCTGTTATTAGGACATCCAGACCCCTCCTAGCGCCTGCCCGGCACACGCGGACGTCACCTCCTCCTGGCTGGCCGTTATGGCGGGTGGAGGAGAAAACCCGTCCCATGCACCCGCGGCCACACTCAGGGTGGCATGAGACGCCTCCGCCGCCGGTTTTTAGGTCAGAGTGGAGATCATCCTCCCGGGCCCTCTCCGCCGCCTTCTTCTACAAGATGACGTCTTCGTAGAAGTCTTCGAGTCCTCACTGCAATCGCAGTGGTGAAAGGGGGGACTCAATTCCCTCCTAGCGACCGAGTGAGGTACTTCCCGAAACAGCCGTGCCCAGAAAGGACCTGCGTCAGTCGAAAGGAAAGGGACCCGTGCTGCCGCTCTGTCCACTCAACGATGACCGGCTGGAGCGCCTCCACTGTGGCAAAACCAGCACGTGGAGCCTCCAGCCGGGAGGACCAACGAGCCATCGTAGCTCAACGAGCGGCCTCACGCCACTCGCGCATTTGTTCGGGCGGGGCCCGACTGCCGCTAACCGCCCGGAACTCAGTCGCCTGCCGATATACTTCGGCGAGCACTTCCGCCTCCAAGTCCCACGGGGGATTTCCTGCCAACGCACACGTAGCCTCCGTCGACAAGATGCGGTGACTCTAACCGCCAATACCCTCTGAGGGCGACAGAGGCGCGCCCTATTCTGTCAAGTCGCCCAAGGGCAGATGCAGTGCCGACCAGCTTTGGAACAAGCTGTCGGTAGTGCTCGTCGAAGAGCCACCTCCTGTCGAGGACCAGGCCCAGATATTTCATCTGGGTCTGAACCGGTACGAGGACCGAGTTGACAACAATTGAGTCACCAGGGAGAGGACCACGACGGGAACCATGATATAAGAGGGCCCCCGTCTTTTCCAGGGCCACCCGTAAGCCTCAATGCACCCGACCACCAGAGAGACTCCCTTGGTCGCCAGGCGTCATAACACGCTGGCCGACCCGTCTGGCGTGCACGTGTCTGCGTGTTATATTAGCCCAAAACCTCATTTCTAAGGAGAGGCCATGTCCAGCAATGGCTGGGCAAATGTTAAAGGCTGTTGATGTGATGATGATGTGAACACATTAATTGACCTACTAGTCAACCAACACTAGTAGGTATGATAGTTAGCGCAAACTGAAAGGCACAGAAATACGACCGTAGCAAAGCAATCTAGATTTACAATGAAACCCGATTCGCCTTGAACAGGCGAGACAGAGTTGAGCGGCCTCAACTGAACGCAAAATCCGCTTATTATAATATTAGATGCAAGCTTACAAGGTTTCCTCAGTATTAAATACCAAATATCTTAGTTATATTTTATTTTATTTCGTATGGTGAAGCGGTGGGATTAAAATAATTGTCTTTTAAATATGAGATAATTCTATATGCAAAATAAATATTTATTTAAAATAATTTACTTCTCTTACTCATACTCTTCGTATTCTTCTCTTTGACAGTTCTATCTAATACCTGGTGATGACGTCGCCGATTCGATTAAAAACAATTGATTTTATTTTAAGTATGTTCAAAATATTTTTTATTTTATTTTACTTAAAACTTATGAACACGTATAAATTACATTACCTACGTTTAACATATTATACATAGGAAGTGATTATTATTATTTAATGTTACTGCGATTTAAGTCAGGATTCTGGTGAGTATCTTCTTTCATTTGATTATTACTCTAAGTTTGTAATTGAAATCAACAATAGTATGGAATTTATTGTAAATAAAACAAAATATAACTATTGATAACATATAATATAGAAAAGGCATAAAATGTTAATATCGATTTATAAAGATACAATTAAAGAACATTTTCTCAAGATTTAAAATAAATGACTGGAAAGAGCAGTTTTTATGTGCCTATAGAAATTCCTTGTTACTTTTTTTTTTAAATTGCGGATGTGGAAAAATAAATCGGGAACATTGTACATGAAAGTGGACATGAGTAGAGAGATAGTAGCTATTGACAGAAATTGTTGAGGCATTAGACATATTGATCTAACACCAGGATAACTTGTACGGATAGTAACGCGTTGTTTCGAAAATAGATCAAGTGTATAATCAAATGAAAGTGGGTCCCTAGTGAGCTGGAAAATTGCGCAATATTAATATTAATCCCGGGAGGAGACGGCACTTAAAGGCTGGCAAAGCATTGGCGGTGGAAGACACTTATCATAAAGGACCCGTCTGCTCGTTTGTTTCTATGCCATAAAAACGATAAATACAATGATACGATTCAAAAAACCATGTGACTTATATCCATTATCAGATATGACGACAAAGTACCGACGATATGCATCCACGACTAGCAAACACGAAGCAAACCGATTAAGCTATTTGTTAATTTAACTTGTTACTTGAGAAACTCGTTAGGAGATCGTTTAAAGTTGCGTACAGATACTAAGCAGGAAATTGCTACAGAATAACATTAAAAGAGGCAGCGTGTATGGTTGATACTGATCAAATTTTGAAAACGGAGAAAATCGTAACTCTACCAAAAATAACGGTCTATAGTATAAACTTTTATTTATGTTTTAAGGCAAAACTTAGTCACTTACCAATTACCTAATAATAAAATATACATATAATAATTGGAGTGACCCGTCTGCCGGTTCGCCCAAATTATCATAAAAAAGTGACTACTTCTATTTAGTTCAGTAGCTTCTATACGAAAAAACAATATTTTGTGAACAAATAACTGCGTGAAACTAAACTGATGACTACTATTACTTGTTACGGAACACTGTGGAACACAGTCGGTTCGAAAGGGAGATGCCGCTTCACCCACGTCTCTGGTGAGGTGATAATCCGTGGGGGTTACTGAGGATCACAATAAAGCTTACGTAACTTTGTATTGCCATAGAAAGCCTTAATACAATACCTACGATTAATCACGTCGAAACTAAACGTACAACATCAACAATCACACATATAAACATTATGCTCGGCAGGTCGAAAATTCCATAAACGGAAGTTTTGTAGTCGTTTCTTAGAGCATCCTTTCACGAGTGACGGTTACTTAAAGTGGACCTTAGTTAACGTATACACAGTTCAAAACTCAATTTAATATATGTGCCGTTGGTTTTTCGTATTTTTTTTCTTCCTAACTGCGTTATTGTACTTTGTAACGCTTAAACTTAGCAAAGACTCGATACTTATAGAATTAAATTTACATAAGAGTTTCAACTATAAAGCATTTAATAATATATTTATATTATATTTAAGCATTTCAGCATGTAACATGTTTCTGTTATCTCCCAATTATTTTTTTTAAATTACAATTATATCCTACATAAAATCTAAATGATGAAGATTTCAGCAAAGTTATTCCTTACATTTACTCTCTCTCACTCACTCTCGCTCGACTGCCTCGATGGCGCAGTGGTAGCGTATGCGACTGCTGTTCGGTCTCGGGTTCGATTCCCGGGTCGCACCAAATATTTGTATGCTCTGCAAATATTTGTTTCGGAGTTTGGGTGTTTTCTATGTATAATATGTATGTATTTAAAAAAAAAGTATATAAGTATTCTATCAGTCAATCTAGCTTTCACAGTACAAGCTCTGCTTAGTTTGAAACTAGAACGCGTTGTGTTAAGATGTCCGAAAAAATATATTATTACTCTCCGCTCTTGGTTGAATTCTTTAATTTTCGCACCCTGACTAGAATATAACGTAACGCTTTTACTCCACTTTGTCCACCACCACCACCAAAACGACTGTTTTAGGAGCCAACTGACCGTTTGCAAGGTTATTAATGCATATTTATAAATTCGTACAATCATTTGCTACAATCGACTGCACGGATGGCGTAGTGGTTTAAGCGGTCGCCACACCGCTTCCTACTACGCCGAGTGTTGTGGGTTCAAACCCCACATGGGACGACACTTTGTGTGAT